CACCCTCAGTATATGGAGCCAGCACCCTACCCACTGAGCCACAGGTGCTGCCCTCTGATGTCAGTTTTGAAAGTAGCCACACTTCATGAGGAACAGTGTGCTTGTTTTTCCAAGTTTTCTAATTTACAACAAGATGGAGGGTACAGATAAACAGGCTCTGATTAGTACTGATTATCCAGCTATTATAAAATAGGGTCTGATATTTTTAAGAACTAAATTCCTTCTAGATTTTCCATAAGAAAATATAAAAGTTGTTTGAACTATGTTCTGGGGAACCTGAGGTACAACCTTCATCAGGAAATGTCCTCAATAATTTCATGACAAGGAAGGCAGGGAGATGATGGAGAGGGAAGACTTACATTCGTTCCGTTTAGAAAATTCCCAATGGCTAAGAGGGTAGACAGGATAAAGCCCAAGGTTTTATTGTTCTCCAATTGGTCTATTCCTTCCTTCAGGTCCAAAAGTGGTTCTGCCACTTCCTTTCAGTTAAAAAAAAAAAAAAATAGAAGATGATAAAGAACGTACAATCTGGCTTTACTTTATTCTTTTGCTCTTTGTATAATAGGTAACAAGAGTCATCCGCCCCAGCAAGAGGTGGCTCCATGTGAGGGCCATGGGCTCCTAGGTACAGAAAAGGATGACAGGAGAGTCTCTACTCCCCAAAGCCTCCACAGTGGAGACCAACAGCAGCACTTGTGCTGAGATGACAAACACTCTGTCCTCCCCTGTTCCTGGCATCTTCCAAACCCAAGCGGAACACTCAAGGCATCCCCCCTCCATACTCCTTCATGCCCATGGCTGACATCTGGGGTGCTCCTCCTTCAGCATCTAGACCACAGTCTTCTCTTTGGCTTTTCTTCTCTCAGGCAGACGAAACTGGAAACTGTCACTTCACTGTTCCATCCCAGGCCTCCCACCTACCCACTAAGGTGCTCCATGGCTGGCTACCACTTAGCCTGGGCACTCACTAGATGGCCCCTGTCCTCAGTACTCCTGCCGCCTTTGTTACTCCACTTCCTCCAACCTCTAGCCTGCCCCACAGCCACGGCCTCCATCTCCCCTTCCCTGTCTCCCCATTCTAGAGTCCCCACTATCACGTCTTTACTGAGGCTCTCCCCTAACCAATCCCCTAAACTCACCTCCACAGTCTTGGGTATCTTCAAACCTGCTTGACTCCCTCACAAACTCACATACAGCAGTTCCCTCCTGAAGCTCCCCATAGCTCCCTGCCCAACTACCTGGCCCTCAAAGGACCTTGTTCCCTCCTTTGCCAGAAAATGGAGACCATACAGCCTGAGAACCTAAACTTCAGCCTCGGACTCCCTCCACTTAGCTCCCCTCCAGCTCACCTTCCCTTTCTCTCTTTTCCTTGCCTCTTCTCTCTGTCCAGCCTGCAAAAATACTCTCATGGCCCCTGTCCTGCATGTGTCCTTTGCTTCCTACCCAAGAGCAATCTCCCCCTGCCTTTCCTGTCAAAGTCTCTTTCCTTCTATTCTCCTCTCGACCTGCTGGAATCTGCTTCATCTTCAACTTTCTACTGAGGACTCCCCCGAAAGGGCCCCCAAAGACCGGCTAAAGTGCCATAGGCAATAGCAATTTAGGTGATTATCATCAGGTGGGAGGATTACAGGAAATTTTCTATAGAACGCTTGCCTGTATTTTCCAAATTTTCTACAATGAGCATACAGGGTTTGAAAAAGAATAATTTTGTAAAAATTCAGTCCGGTGCCCAGAGTGCAGCATGTGAGGCTGACACCCACACACGCTTTAGAATAAGCCTCCCTGGCAGGTTGCTGTTCACTTGGGGCAGACACATCCTCACAACTCACTCTCCACGTCCTGTGTCGAGAATGGCATTTCATTACCTTCTCACCCCTGGGGACACAGGATGGGCTGCCTCTCAGGGAGCGCTCACCTTCTCTGTGGTTTCGTAATCCATTTTGAATGCCCAGAGGTGGAGCCGAGCTGAGAGCTCGCTGATGGAGGAGAGCATCAGGAGGAACTGCTCTGCGCTGCCCAAGGGCACCTCGGGGTTGGCCAGCTGCGCCTCCTGGATCTTCTGCTTCTCCTCTTCCGTGGGGATCATGGTTAGAATTTTCTGGAAGATGGGATCATACAGTATATTCTGTTAGTGATGGAACCCCTCCCCCACCTCTTCAATGTTTTCACATTAATATTATAACTTTCCAGTTAGGTAGTAAAGATATTGTATTAGTGTTTTTATTATATACAGTTAGTAAATGATAAACCAAGTATACTTTAAGTAACTTGTCCAAAATTTTCTTGGTCACATGAAGGACATTCCAGGCAAGAAAGCAGGATGGAAGGTGAGAGAAAGGTGAAAGAACACCAGAGAACTCCTTGTTCCCTTGGAAACTTGTCAAGAATATATGCTTGTAGCCCTTCTCCTGGATTAGTTTAAGAGCTTACAAAAATGAATCTTTTCAAAGAACACACATTGACTTTTGTTCATACGACATAATTTTAAAAATTGCATATAACTGGTAACATTTTAAATAATATTAAACTCAAGTCTGTTTGTAGAAAAAATGATGACAGTATTTATAAAGAGCAATACCTACCTGCTAATGAAAATAGATTACCTTTCTACATGGCTGGTTGAATTTGACAAAGGTGCAAAGACAATTCAGTGGAGAAAGGATAGTATTTTCAAAAAACAGTGTCGGAACAAACGGACTCCATATGCAAAAAGGAACCTCAACTTAAACCCTACCATATACGTAAACAAACCCCAAATATATCACAGAGCTAAAACTAAAATGTCAGACTATACAACTTTTAGAAGAAACACAAGAAGAAATCTTTGTGATCCACGTTACGCAAAACATTCCTAGACATGATACCGAAAAAGAAGAGGTTGATACACTGAACTTTATCCAAATTAAACACCTTTGCCCTGTGAAACTATTAGGAGAACACAAAGGCAAACCATAGTCCCTCAAAGGATTACACACACAATTTCCCTATGACCCAGAAATTCCATCCCTAGGTATTTACTCTAGAAAAATGAAAATGTATGTTCACACAAAATCTTGTACATAAACATTTATAATAAGTTTTACTCATAACTGCCAAAAACTAGACCAAGCTAATTATTATTCAGTGGTGAAAAGATAAAATACGGAACAGCCCTACAACAGACTAATACAGGGCGATAGAAAAGAACAAACTATAGATACGTATGATGATTTGGATGAATCTCAAAGGTATCACGCTGAGTGAAAAAAGCCAGTCTCAAAGAGATTACGTGCCATCGCTGAAACATTCTCAAAAAGGCAAAACCATAGTGATGGAGATTACATCAGCGGTTGCCAGTGGGCTGAGAATGCAACTACAACAGGACATCATGAGTATTTTGGGGGCAGACGAAACTGTTTTAAATCCTGATTATAAGGGTCATTGTATGAATTTATGTATGTTTTGAAATTCATAGAACTTTATACCAAAAAAGTCAGTTGCAATCTATACTAGTTTAGCAAATAAATAATAAAGTGACAAACTGGACCCTGATGCCACAGAAAGCAAACATACAGATATTTACACAACTGCACATCAGGATGTGTCTGGGTGGGGGAAGAAGTAGTTCTGGGCTTGGTAAGGGTGTTAGTAGGCAGAGCTGTTGCCTTAGTGGCTTATCAAAAGCCAGAGATGCAAAAATACATTAAAGATGTGTCCTCTGGCTGCAACCAGAGTGAGGAGGCCGAAGGTGAGATCTGGGTGACCCTGGAACACCTCCCTTTCCAACTTTCCCCCGTGAACACCGAGGCTGTACGGGTGGAACACAAGCATCTGGGAGACACTTGGCAACCGCTCTCCTTGTATTCCTACTACCTGGCTCATGCCCTGCCTATTCACGCAGGTGGTGCTAAAAAAATAACCAAAACAATTCAAGTAGATACAGCTTCTTTAAAAACATGCATGATATGAACTCAGCTAAGTTTCCAAAAACCAAACTTCTGAGTTTTAATTTCCTTAATGCTTAAATTGCTTTAGGCATGACAAAAATTCCAAGACAAAAATCTGTCAACACTTTGTACAATCTTCAGAAGGCTTTTCTGGTGATGATTTCTGTTGCTTTTTTCTTTTGAGAAAGTAATCAGATACTCTTCATTTTGTTATTCACTTCTCTAATTTAAACCATTTGTTCACTGTTGAAGATTTATGAGGTTGTCACCTGCCAATTTATTTTTTGCACATCACTGACAATAAAAGTAGCCATAAGACAGCAGAATGGCAGGTTAAAGCCCCTCCTGTGAGTTAAAAGCCCTTGATTGAGTATGAGATGGTATCTTTTTTTTTTTTGTTTTGCAGTTTTTAGCCAGGGCCAGGTTTGAACCTGCCACCTCCAGGATACGGGGCTGGCGCCCTACTCCTTTGAGCCATAGGCACCGCCCTGAGATGGTATCTTGAATTTGCTTTTCTATTAATTTTACTGACTTACTGATGATTTTATGATCATCATTTGGTTTCACAGAAAACAAACATCGAATACCAGTATGTGATAACTTCAGTGTTTTCAGCTTTTCCCAGTGTCCCTCCACTACAGCTCTAAATATGCTTGCTTTTATATATGAAAGCTGTACATTTCTGAGAAAAATGCAGAAATATCCCCTTTTTATGGACCCAAATTCTCTTAGGGTTGGCCATTTTGTTCACCTGTAGATGAGATCATAACAAGTAATTATTTTGCTTTGTGAGTTTTGAACAGAATGGTGACTGCAACTTTAGATAAGAATGTATCACACAGATTTTAGTGATTAACAACAGATTAAGCTGGGTCCCTTAAAACCAAGACTGGTTTGTACACATCCTGCATAGTCTCATAGCAAAATGGCTTTTCGGCTTGACGCCTGTGCTCAGTGGTTAGGGCGCTGGCCACATATAC